GTATGACTTCCAGAGATACTGCTTTTAAGTTTCTTAATAAGATAAGGACCTTTTCATTGGGTTAATGTTTCTGTGCTGAAAATAATTTGGAAAATAGGAGAAAGTTACTTAACATCTAACCCAGACAAGTTCTTTATATTCATTGTTGACGAAAAGAACCGAAAAGACCTCCTGTGACATGTTAGAATAGATTTCCTGGTAATTTAGTAGCAAGGGAATGATGCAGTTTGCATCTTAGACATATAATTAGATTTCCTTGTTATATATGGACTGACCCAGTTCAAATGCATAATCTCCTCTCTCTCCCTCGTATTCCCTTAGAACTGGGTCAGTGCCTGTCCCAGAGCCCTTACAGTGTTCCACCTCACAGCATAACTATTAGGTACTCAGAACCCTGTCATGAGCTCATATTAGGGACTGGGACTCTTTTTAGAAATAATGCATGGTAGTTGGGAAACCTTGGGACATCAGCCTTGGACAAACCAATATTCAAGTCCTTCTTGACCATTTCTGTGGGAAAGTTCTGTAGCCTCTCCAATTTTCTTACATAATATAGGTAAACCGTCTAGCAGGTTGCCTGTGCTTGCCTTGGTTGTGTGCCCCCAGTCCTTACCCTGGGCTTTGCATGTCACAGGGGAGCAGTGAAAGGTACAGCCATGCTGTACAGGCCAAGCAAGGTGAGAATCCTTTTATTTCCTTAAAAAACAAAATCAACATATGCTTCGAATCAGTGAATTAGCAGAATGTTTGTGAAGATCAGTCTGTAAGTTAATAATATAAAAATCTTTTTGAAGAAACAGGTGTGTTATGCAGCACACCAAACGATGAAATAAATAACAATGGGACTGATAGTCTTGGTCACTTTTTACAATTTTGAGTTTTATATATATATATATTTTGTGTGTGTGTGTGTGTGTGTGTGTGAGAGAGAGAGAGAGGAAGATTAGCTCTGACCTAACATCTGTTGCCAATCCTCCTCTTTTTGCTGAGGAAAATTGGCCCTGGGCTAACATCCGTGCCCATCTTCCTCTACTTTGTATGTGGGACGCCTGCCACAGCAGGGCTTGATAAGTGGTATGTAGGTCCATACCTTGGATCTGAACCTCTGAACCCCAGGCTCCCGAAGTAGAGTGCACTAACTTAACCACTACACCACCAAGCCAGCCCCTAAAATTTTGAGTTTTATATATACATATTTTTTGGGGGGGTGAGGAAGATTGGCCCCTGAGCTAACATCCATTGCCAATCCTCTTCTTTTTGCTGAGGAAGATTAGCCCTGAGCTAATAGCTGTGCCCATCTTCCTCTATTTTGTATGTGGGACGCCACCACAGCATGGCTTGATAAGCGGTGCGTAAGATCCTGGGATCCAAACCTGCGAACCCTGGGCGACACCAAAGCAGAGCACACGAACGTTTTAGCCACTATGCCACTGGGCCTGCCCCTTGAGTTTTATGTTTTTAACATAATTTTTCCAGTTTTCAACTTATCACCTTTTTTTTTTGGTGCTCCTTTTTTAAAGAACTTCATTAATAATACATTTTGCATTTCCCTGTGGACTTTTATTGAAATACAGATATTTTAAGAAGGGGAAGATAAAAGGGAATTGTCTAGTCTCACTTTTTGATAGACATGTCAAATAAGAACTTTTCAGACAGCTGAGCTTGTCTCTGCAAATGCCCCCCTGCTTCGTCCTTACCACTGTCATTTTTCATCATCTTAACGATTTTTCCTCAAGTCCTCAGTCCTCCTCAAGCAGGGTATCTTTTTACCGGCTCTGGTCCTGGGTTTTTCTGAACTTTCTGAAAGCTACTTCCTCAGAACCTGGGATAGATGTTTGTCCAAGCTCAGCGTTCCCTTCTTCTGCTCTCCCATGCTGGTCTGGTCTGTAGGTTCCTACTTGTCAGTTGGAATGAAGCCCGGGGAAGCAGGTCCTGTCGTGGCCTCGTTGCCTAGTAAGATCATCACCTAGTGAGATGATGAAATGTTACCTAGCGAGGTGATCACCTAGTAAGCTGGTCAAATGTTCAGCAAGGCAAGATAAACACTCCACCTCTAGTGGAGTGAGGCTTCCAAGCTGATGATACCTGGGTGGTGAGAAATCCCCCAGTATTGTCGTATCCCACCCTTGTGCCAGTTTTGAAATTTGTAATAAAAAAGTGTCATAAAGAGCCCATATCTGGTCAGGCCCTTGTAGTGTGTAGTCCCACATTAATATCACTTCCATTTGCCTTCCCAGTTTCTTTCCCTCTGCACCTGGAAGACCATGTAGTTGTATACCTTCTTGTTTACAGAGAGCTGCTCCCCCACGACTTCCCTGTGTCTCTTCTCTTTCCCATGTTCCAGTCATGAATTCCATCTGCCAAGCCTTGGTGATACTTATAAAACTAAAGTGCCTCCTGACTGCCAGAAACATAGACAGGATGAGTATTAAAGACACATGTCCTGAAATCAGATCTTGCTGAAGTCCAGTATTAAATCCTAACAGAAAGGCCAGCACATCAGGGTTAACCATTAGGGCCTCACATGGCCCTGTTCTAGGAAGTCAGTCTGAGTCATCACAGCATGCTGCAGGGAGTCTCCCAGAGGTGACCAGGGAGAAAGTGGGTGGGTGGGTGTGGGCGCGGTGTGGGTGTGAGTGAGGGTGTGGTTTAACGCTCCAGCACATCCAGGGAAAGTCAGAACTAGATACAGGGGGTGCGGCCCACTGTCTGAGCCAGGTCACCAGCACTGGGGTGGAGGGGTCAGTTAATCAAGTTGGGATGTTCTCAAGTACCGTCATTGACAAAAGTGAGGTTGGAGAAAAGGAAAGTGGTCAGTGTGGTAGTTTCCTAGACAATGTAATGAATTTTACTAATTACTATTCTTTCTTGAAACCAGTGAGGTTATTAAGCCTCATTAGCATGACAGGAATCAGGACAATAGTTCCTATTCAGTGAGGAAAAAAATACAGAAAGAAGAAAAAAGACTAAGTTGGCAGCTTGCTATATTTATCATATGTGTGTCAGCTTTTGCTTACTGTTTAAAGACATGATGGAGTAAAGTTGCTGTCAATCATTGTATAAAGAGTTGCTTTGAAATGATGTTGCATAGAAATGGAGTTGGAAATTGGAATGCCCAACTCTCTGGAATGCCCTACTGCTCTACAACAGTAGAAGTGTACAAAAGAACACAGGAAACGTCTTGTAAAAATTACAGCTGTTCCACATTCTTTGTAATAGCAAAAGATTTGAAACAACCCAATGTCCCTAACATGCTGGTTCATCACACAGTGGAGTCTGTGTAGCTGTTAAGAGTCAGGAGGAGCTCTGTACACTGACACGGAGTGATCGGGTAGTTAATGGGGGGAAAAACAAAAAGTGAGGCACAGAACAATGTACATAGTATGCTACCTTTTGTGCAAGAAAGGGAGGATTATGGATATATGTACACATTTGCTTATATTTTCAAGGGGAAACAATGCAATAGAAAGATAAATCAAAAACTAATAAAAATGTATAGGGGAAGGGAGGGATTGGGACAGAGGAGACCAGGAAGGAAGCAAGACTTAACTGCCTACACCTTGATATGTGGTTTGACTTTGGAATCATGTAAACTTTTGTCATAATCATAAAACAAATTATATCCAAAAATCACTGCCCTCACCACACACACAGAATGACAAAAAAGAGACAAATGAACCTCTTTGTACTTTGTTAGTGACATAACCACGTAGAGAAAAGAATTATTCTGAGTGACCTTAGGACATAATATTTTACTGTATGACATAATGTTTTTACTGTACGTTCTCAATGAGATACACTCTAAGGACAAAAGTAAATGCAAGGAGAGTTTAAATTGGATTCAGCAGTCTTACTATTAATAGTTATGTTGATGTGGTTAGGAATTAAGATTTTCTACCTAAGAGATAAGAAACAAGCATCAAGTTTTAAAAAATTATGTAAAAACCCTATACACTTAAATTTGAATTAGAAGTATTAATAAGCTCTTATTCTTTCCTTTTTTAAAAAAAAATACACGTCTGAGGTCTGTCCAATGAAAAGGCATAGAAAACTCAGTAACAATGAGCACTCGTAGCACCCAGATTTTTGCCTTTAAACATCACTTCCCACTAAAAGAATCTGGAGGTCCTTGGAGAAAGGCCTGGGTTCAGGTCTGAGATGGGAAATGTACTTGGTGAGTCTAGAAGATCTTGTGCCGGAAAGCCAGGGACAGATCAAATGCTAACTGGTCATTTCAAAAGGACGTAAGAACCTGTCTTAAGGGTTCTCATTGGCCAGAGACGGGATAATTGTCTGCCATGAATATGTAAGAAATCCATGAGTTATTATGACATTAAACCAATAGAAGGCCCATCATCTCACTCCTGCATTATTGCAGGGTTGCTGCCTGAGGAGCCTCTTAGAGACTATTTTGAAAGACAGTAGAGAATATTCATTTGATTATGTAAATTATAATAAAGAGTCATGATACAAATGCCAGTTAGAGTTCATGGTCTTTCTCCCCATCCTCTCCCCTTAACAATGGCCTGGAATCTGACCTCAGATTGACTCTTCCTGTGACAGGAAATACATTACTTTGCGTTCTTTTCATCCCTAATTGCCAGCATTGTGTCCTCAGCGGAGCTGAAATCTGCCTTCTGCGATTCCAAAGACCTGGGTTCTTGTCCCAGCTCTCTCTCCTGCTCCCTCCATCAGGCTTCAGTCTCTGAACCTTGCTGAGCCTCAGACCATGAGCATCTCTAAAATGAGAATGCAAATGATCCCTGTTCTCCCTTCAAAACCATGAGGAACGATCGCTGACCTCTAAGATGCCTTCCGCCTTGTTGATACCGTCAATTTTCCGTGTTTCCCCCCATTATTACATTCTTAAATAGGCACATTTACGAAATTCCATTGGAGATTGGAATCGTTTTAGCTATACCTAGAAAAATAAATATTGCCAGTTCATTACCACAGATTGGATGGGGAAGTAAAATGCCTTGTCTTTCTGTTTCTTTCAGCCATGGAATTCCATGAACACTTGCACAGCATAGGCACCAAGGAAGGTTTGAAGGAACGAAAACTGCAAAAAGCGGTGGAGAGCTTCACTTGGAATATCACCATCTTAAAGGTATCTAGCCAAGTTGTTTCTGATGCTAGTGATTTTGCCATCTTTTTCAGCATGTTTCTTCCTGTCTGGATAACATTTCCTGCAGTGTACCTCATCAGCACTTGAGCCTGTAGCGTGGTCACAGAAATCCGGGACAACTCTGTCTGCCCTCCGGAGAGTCTGCAAGCATGAGAGCTGGGCAGGAGGCTCGGAGGGAGAACAGGGGACTGTGATGGCTGGCACATTGTAGATTCTGGTGGGAAGGAAAAGGAGCTGGCGTTTCATCCTTGAAGGATATAAAGTTCATAAATGCCAGTTGCTACATGTGAAATAGAAAGTATTGATTACAGAGGAATGATGGGGAATTTAAAGATTTTAGTTACTCAGATTTCATTTAACACTTTAAAGTATAATCACAGCCTTAATATTAATATGATCCCAGAATAAAATAGGAAAGAATTGTGTGGGGCATAATTAAAAGAAATAGGTAAGGAATTGCCATTTGAAAGAAATTATCCTTCAAGGGAAAAAGTCATCCATATCTATCTGTTGATTTCTTTCTCTCTCTCTCTCCCTTCTTCCCTCCTTTCCTTCCATCTGTCTTTCTATCTATCTCAGCATGACCCTTTAAAAAAAATTAACTTTTATTATAAAAGTGATATATTTTCAGTGTAGAAAATGTCAAAATAGCATAATCAAAGGCAACCCTAGTCCCACCATTCAGACACGATCACTGGTGGCCTTTTGCTGTGCTTTGTCCCGTTTCTCCCTGTGACACAGAAACACTATTTCACTCCAGGTCTTGGACAGTGAAATGTAAAATCACTCTCTGGTATTCACCCTCCAGACTTGCTCCTCGGGTGAATTCAAAACTGTCAAGACGTGATCACAGCTGCCTCTTTTAATTTCTCTGTTCCTCTTCAAGTTAAAAGATCCATCCCTGAGCTGACAACAGTTTTCTGATTTGATTTAATAAAAAGTCGCTCTTCCAGAGCTAGCCGACTTGCATTTTCTCGCGTTAAATCCTACTCATTTTTATAATTAAAATCATTTTCTTCTTCAAACGCTCCCCTTCCTACACATGTATTTTTTTTAATCTCTAGATCTCCTGCTTAGTACTTAACTCTGATTGTTTGCAGTCCAGTAAACAGCAGACATAAAATTTACAATGAAAAAGAATTTGGCTTTACAACTTGCCGACTCACTTGCGATCAGAGGTGAAGGGTATGCTACAAATTTCCTGCAAACCTCAGGAAAAAATAGCACAATAGTTTTTTGTCCCTGTGGTAGGAACAAATGCTCATTTGGCTTTTATTTTATTATAGGGAAAAATAGACTTAGACACCAAACTTTCATCTGTCAGCTATCCTTGCTACTCATGTGTGGTCTGGAAACCAGCAGCCTGGGCGTCACCTGGAAGCTTGTTCGAAATGCAGACTCCCAGGCCCCACCCCAGACCTGCTGAATCAGACTGTGCGTTTTCACAAGATCCCAGGAGATTCTTATGCACATTAAAGTTTGAGAAGCACTGGGCAAAAATCCACAGAAAATGAGAGCCTGGTGCACATATTAATGAAAACCAGCTGACATAAAGTGATGGACCAGATTTTAAAAATAAGTAATTGAATGAAATAGCTACACTGAGGAAACCTATTTTCTTTTGAATTACATCCAGGAGAGAGAATTAACACCTCAGACTTATGTCCAAATGGAAACAAATGTATAGGACAGGATAATTGATCTTTTTAAAATTTCCAGGATAACATTTGCTGTAGATTGTGTTGGAGTATGGAGAACCTAAGCGAGGAATGGGGAGGAATTGGGGAGATGTGTGTGTCGTTTCTGTATACTGGAAGGGCTTTTTTCATTTCTGTGTATTTCACAGGTTTAGACTTCCATTAGAAGAGTCCGTGCCCCCAGAGTCTGGGACATGAGTTTGGGTCTGAGTTAAGCTCCCAGCCTTTTCTGGAGGGGACAGGACCCTTGAGTTCTTTCACCACTGGTTCTTTGTGGAGCTTGGAGAGGGGGTAGCCCTCCAGGGCTATGTGCAGTGTGCAGTAGGCAGCAGGTGCCCTGGTAGTGGGCACAGAGGCTTGGGGAAGGTTTCAGATGACACTGGGGGATGGAGAGAGGAGGTGGAGGACAGGAGGAGGTGCTTGAGGGAGCCCTGGAGCCTGAGGCCAGGCATGGGAATTACCTGGAGTGCTTAAAATGCAGTCTCCTGAGCCCCACCCCGGACCTCCTGGAGCAGAATTGCCAGGGGTGGAACGCAAGAATCTGCTTGTTCAACAAGTTCCTCAGGGTATTCTGAGGCACCCTAAAAAAATCGAGTACCACCGCTCTAGAATCAAATCAAAAGTATCCTTCGTTGTGTATCACCCCACTCAAGTGAACAATAAAGGACACAGTGACCAGTCATCCCGGGACGTAGGGCTTCCAGTGTGAGAACCGGGACAGTCCCAGGCAAACGGGGATGACAGGTCACCCCAAGAGGAGGCACCCTGCCATAAACTCCTTTCATCTAAGGATGTCCATCCCAGTTTTTATGAATCTTTCCTTGCATTGTTTAGTTTTTCAATTTTAAGAGTTGCTATAAAATACAGAAATGAACAAAGGGGAAATGTTGTCCGTGATCACCACACCCAGAATGATTCACTGTTAACATCTTGGCATATTTACTTCCAGTCGCTTTTTTTCATTGAATAAAAATCATTCATTTGTTTTTGTAAATGCATCTTTTTTGTGTGTGTGTGAGGAAGATCAGCCCTGAGCTAACATCTGCCAATCCTCCTCTTTTTGCTGAGGAAGACTGGCCCTGGGCTAACACCCATGCCCGTCTTCCTCCACTTTATATGGGACGCCGCCACAGCATGGCTTGACAAGTGGTGCGTCGGTGCGCGCCTGGGATCTGAACGGTCGAACCCTGGGCCTCAGCAGCGGAGCGCACGCACTTAACCGCTTGTGCCACCGGGCCGGCCCCTGTAAATGCATCTTCATGATAAAGAACTTTTTGTGATGTAGAAAAGATAAAAGTTTTAAAATGACCTCAGATCCTCCCTTTGAGAAATGACTTATTAACTGTAGGTGACCTTATTCCAGGAACCTTTTATATGCATATAGATGGATGGAGGGAGGGAGGGAGGGAGATATATTTTATTGATTCTGAGTCATACCTTTTTATCATATTTTGAAATTGGTATGTATCTTATAATTAGTGGCATCTTTGCCTCGTTTCCTAGTTAAATTGGCAGTGACCTTTCTGAGTAGTATATAAAATAGTGGTGCATCTCACAAGCACTAGTGTCTCAGAGTCTGTGACGTAAGGTGTCAGTAGATAGAATCCTACTGTAATTGTTCTTTTTAATTTTTTTAAAAAGTACTCAGTTTCACTTAATTTAACAGAATAAAGGAAACCATAAAGAAGCCATTTAGCAATTCATTTAAATTGCTGAACAATTTTTACTCTTAAGTATTTATTTCCTATAAAATCCCTCTGAGGTTAAGAAAAAAGATAATGAGAAATGTTAATAGGAGTCATTTTGTTGTTTTTTAAAGCTACACATTTCAATTGTAAGCTTTGTTGGTTGAGCTTCTGCTATGAAAGATGAGAATGTTAGCACTTTCTAATATTTCTGTGTGGAGAGTTAGGCATATTGTTATTTTTCCCTTGTCCACGTTTAAATATTCCCATTTGGTCCCAAGATTGTAATTCCCATGTTGCTCGGTATAAGCTCAATGTTTAAATTGGTTCACTGTGACCGCCAGTCCAAGAAGTCACCTCACTTTTCTGTAGCCTAAGGGAATGGCAGAGAGAAGAGAGAAATCTCCGCTGGGGTCTTAGGCAGCCTTTCTTTGGAGATTTGGATCCAGCTTTCTCAGAGTTTGTAAATGTCCTGTTCTGGGGTTTCTGCTGCATCACTGGGGCGAGGATGTAATCCATTCCCACAGGCTTCTGATTTCTTCTTTAATTCAGAAGCCAGCCCTCAAGACTTTACTCCCATTAGAGAGTCAGCATCATTCTCCCTCTCTCTCTCTCTCTCGTTTTTTTTTTTTTTTGGTCAACTTTTTTGAGGTATAATTTACATAAAATAAAATTCACCAATTTTAACTGCACAATTCAATGAATTTTGACAAATGTATATAGTCATGCAACCCCACCACAGTGATGATAGAGCATTTCCATCACCCCTGGAAGTTCCCTTGTGCCCCTTTGTAGTAAACTCCTCCACCTTGCCAACCACTGAGGTGATTTCTGTCTCTCTAGTTTCACCTGTTCCAGAATGTCATATAAATGGACTTGTATGTATGGTATGTGGTCTTTGTGCCTGGCTCCTTTCATTTACCATAATGCTTTTGAGATTCATCCAGTTGATGTGTGTTTCAGTGATCCATTCCTTTTTATTGATGGATGGTATTCTATTTCATGGATGTACCACACTTTGTTTACACATTCACCAGTTGATGGACATTTGGATTGTTTCCAGTTTTTAGCTATTATGAATAAAGCTGCAGTGAACATTCACATACCAGTCTTTGTGTGGACATATGTCTTTATTTTTCTTGGGTAAATACCTATGAGTGGAATTGCTGGGTCATATGGTAAGTGTATGTCAGACTTTATAAAAAATTGCCACACTGCTTTACAAACTTTTATTTGCATTCCCCTCAGCAGTGTTCTGTGAGTTCCAGTTACTCCACATCCTCGTCAACATTTGCTATTGTCAGTTTAGCCAGTTTAGTAAGTGTATAGAGGTTATGTGTCTTTTTGTTTTGGAGAGGGTTTTTTAGCTTTTAAAAAAATCGGCATGGGCTTTGGTGTAGTTTTCTTTATGTTTCTTCTGCTTAGGGTTTGTTAAGATTATTGGATATTTGGGTTGATGGTTTTCATCAAACTTGGAAAATTTTCAGCCGTTGTTATCTTTATGTATTTTTTTTCTGTCTTACTCTTTCTCTCTTCCCCTTCTGCAACTCCAATTATGCATATATAATGCTGGATATTATTCCACAAGTCACAGATACAC